AAAAAAAAAAAAAAAAAAAAAATCCCACCCCTTGAAAATCAGACATGTTTTGCGTGTCTGGTACTGCAAAATAAATGTAATTGAAACTAGATATTTCATACAGAACTTTCCATTTTGACAAAAAAACCCAGTTCTTGTCATTTTCTTTTTAATAATATTTTCTGATCTTGGCTACATCCCAGCGTTCAGACTGGCTGAGCCAAACCTACCATCCTCTTCCAGCTTCCTCCAAGCTGTATGAGAGATACAGAGTCCTCAATGAACTTATCAGGATCACAGTGGTGCACCTGGGGAAGAAAAGGAGAGAGAAGGATGGATCCTTTGGTTAAAGTGCTAGGCTGAAACACAGAAGCTCTCAGGACTTGGGCACAGACACACGGACTTCTTTTTTCCTTCTAGATCATGTATGTCCTGTAGGCCACTACTGCCCCACAGGCAGCCCAGAGCCCAAACCCTGCCCCGCTGGAAAATACCAGGACCAGACTGGTCAAAGCCAGTGCAAAACATGTCCAGCAGGGAAGTAAGTGGAATTCATCTGCTTTCTCTCCAGATGCTTCTCTTGGGAATTAGCACGCGAGTCCTCTTTTGCCTTGGGCACCTGGTAGTTTCCTCGTTCCTCTCCTCCTACCACCATCACACTCATTATCCCACTTCCTGGACTGTTCCCTCTTCACTACAGTTACCCTTGTTTTGATATAATCTCCAGGGAGGAACAAAATGATCCCACAGGTAACATCACCAACCCAGCAGGCTGCTTTCCACCTTTCCGCTTGTTTCTGGAGGGACAATCTATGTTCTCTTTTCTTGCAGTCCCAGACTACCATGGTTATTGGTTACCTGGCAAATGGACCTCTTTTTGCCCTGGGGTGTGACAGGTTAATGCCAGATTTTGCCTTTTCTTTTTAGGTTCTGCGGCCAAAAAGACCAGACACAAGACCACAAAGACGCCTCTTCTCATGGACTTGCCAAACCAGTGGACTGCCCAGCCGGATACTACTGCCCCTCAGGAACAAAAGCTGCCAGGCAGTACCCCTGCCCTGAGGGCACCTTCAGTAACCAGACAGGGCTGCAGAGCTCCCATGAATGCCAGCCTTGTCCTGCAGGGAAATTCTGTGCAAATGTGGGTAAGGATGGACAGGTGCGGGGTAGAGTCACTGCTCAGGCAGGGAGGATGCTGTGTTTTGTCTTGGAGGAATAAAGATTGTGAGAGAGAAGCCTCCACGTGGTATATTTCCTTAGGGACTGATCACCTGATGAGCTGGTTCGAGCCAGGATTTCTAGACATATGTTACATTTGTATGCTGCCTAATGCCCCTGGTTCACTTTTATTCTCTTCCTCACTAGGCCTCTCATCTCCGAGTGGTCCATGTTCCCCTGGACACTACTGCACTTTGAAAGCACATATACCCAACCCCATGCATGATGAAACTGGAGATCTGTGCCCGGCAGGACACTTCTGCCCACTGGGTAGCAGCAGCCCAGTGCTGTGCCCCACAGGCACTTTTCTACCCCAAACTGGGATGGCATCTCATAATGCCTGTTTGCCCTGCCTGGGCGGGAAGTTCTGCCAGGGAGAAGGGATGGCCGATGTTTCAGGTGAGCTCCATACACTTGTGTGCACATGAGAATGAGTGCAAGACAATGTTGCACTTTTTATTCCAGGGTATCACCTCTCCATAGGGCATAGCTGGGGATGGATCTTACCCTTTATGATTTGTAGGATCTTAGGACGCTAGGGAGGCCCCAGTGTCAAATCCCGAGTTCTCTCCTGCTTTGCTCCTGGAGCGAAACTCCAGTTTGGCTCAAATAAGTGCAAACATACTGAACTATAGCTGGACAGACTCAAAGCAAAAAGAGAGAGCAACCTCTCGTGTCCCTGGGAATCAAGCAGCTGGATTCTTAGACTGAAGAAATCTGGACCAGAAAGGCTAAGCCACTAAACCCCTACATGTTTTCCCATACCAGTTACATGAATGCTTGGAGGTCCCTCAGTTCCTTTGTCTGGGTACTGAAATCTTCTGCTTTGCAGGAACCTGTCATGCTGGGTATTACTGCCCTCTGGGATCCACGAGGCCTGACCAGGAACACTGCCCCACTGGCTTTTACTGCCCCAGAGGCTCGGAGTTGCCAGTCCCCTGTGACTCTGGAAGTCTCAACCCCCATGCTGGGAGATGGCATCCCACAGACTGCCAGCTCTGTCCTGCTGGACACTTTTGCAGCGGTATGAGTCTCCCTCTCTCTGGTTTGGGGTTCACGAGGGTGGACACATGGGAGCCAGTGCCCTTCCCAGCTTTATTTCCTGTAAAGTTGTTTCGAGCATACTACATTCATAACTCTTATGAATGGATGAAGATTCTTGCATTTGATTGCATAGCTCATCTTGTTTGGTCAGCACAGAATTGTCTCTATACTGCAAAAAGTGATCAGAGAGCCCCGGCTGGGCACTTCAACTAGAAGCCCAAGCTTCCCCATGCCAGGCATTGCACATCAATGCCCGGGTTCTGGCTTTCCTGAGTGATGCATCCCAAAGCACCCATGTTTCTGAGGTTGGATCCATGCTATCAAGAGTAGCTGCTTCTTGATTTGAACTGAATATGCAATGAGGCCACATTGTGTGTGGGAATAGAGGGATCCTCCTGCCTTTGACTTGGGGAAGGAGATGGAAAGGTTCTTCTTCCTCAATGACTGCAGGGTTTGGAAGACCTGCTCCAGAAGGACCATGCTCTGCTGGTTTCTACTGCCCACCGGGCCAGACCTCAGCCATTCCTGCATCCTACTGCTGCCCCCGAGGCTTCTACTGCCCTGCAGGATCTGCCATGCCCGTGCCTTGTGAGAGGGGCACCTACCAGCCCCAGGAAGGGAAAGACTCATGTGATCTCTGCCCCGCAGGACTCTTCTGTGAACCAGCCGACAAAAGTGAGGGGGCTGTGGAGGGCTGTGCGTGTGTTTTTGCTGTCAGTCTGTGTCACTGCAGGAAGATTAGGCCAAGAGCAGACTGTTGGACTCAATAAAGGCATATTCTGTCTCCTGTAGGGTGATTCTGTGTCCAGCTGAGCCCACAGAAGAAAGCAGGGGCTAATGCATAGATCAGAAGACTAAAGGCAATGCATAGCACACTCCTTATTCCTGGGGAAATAGTCTTGAAAGCACCTGAGTGGGTTTGTGTTCTGTGTCTTCCAGGTTCGGGGGTACAGCTGCCCAGGCCATGCCCTGTGGGGTACTTCTGCCCACCGGGCACCAGCTTCAGTGCAGAACACCCGTGTCCAAGGGGCACCTTCCGACCAAAGCCTGGTGCCGCTCATGAATCTGACTGTGAGCCCTGCCCCGCAGGTAAGAAAGGGTTTGCCACAAGGCACCGGAGGGGAATTTGAGTGAAGGACTGAGGGGGAAAGTGCTGACTTTAGTCTCCACCCGCATTTGCAGCAAGTAGAGTCTCCACCAACATTCGCAGCGAGGGCATAGAGGAGACATAGAAACCCTTTCACCATGGACTTCCTTTCTTCTCATTTCAGGCATGTATTGCTCAGCTCCAGGTTTGACCCAGCCATCTGGGTTTTGCCATTCGGGCTATTATTGCACCAAAGGAGCCATCACCCCAGCCCCCATCAAGCACCGGGTGAGTGAATCCCAGAGGGACTGGGTTGTCCATTGCACCAGTAACCTTAGGCTGGGGCCGAGGAGTAAGGGCTTCTCCCCTAGCAATGCGGTGCTGTAGTACCATAGAGCAGCAACTTCTAGATATTCCAGTAATCCTGCAGCAGTTGGGATCACACCTTCAGGCCACTGCCCAGTTGCAGGTTCTGGGTGAAGACTGGAGATCTTGATAATATCTATTGAGAGGAGTGGGTGGCAGCATGGTGCTGGACTGTGATGTTGTAGGAATCCCTTCTGAGTCCTCCTCTCTGCATGTCACACTGGGGCTGTGTTGCCTGGAACCCCTCACAGGGGTGGCTAATTCCTGGCACAGATGTGCTTAACCATGACAGACCAGCCAATGTGTCGGGGCCCTTTTCAAGCCAGCTCAGGCCTCTAGCAAGTGGCCCAGCTCACCTACAGCCTGCAACTCAAATTCATGCTTCCCCGTGGCTCTTTTTGCAGCTGATCATGCTTCCTGCATCTCACTGTGTTTGTTTTTCCTCCCCCAGGTCGAGTCTGCTGGCCTTTCTCTTCCTGGAAATGACATCTGCCCTCCTGGGCATTTCTGCCCCAATGGTACCAGCTATCCCATCCCCTGCCCTCCTGGATCCTACTCCTCTTCGCTGGGCCTGGGGGCAGAGGATCAGTGTCAGCTCTGTCCAGCAGGGCGGTACTGCAGTCGGGCAGGCCTGTCCGATCTGTCCCAGGCATCGCTGTGTAGTGCAGGGTAAGGAGATGTGGTCACTTTTATATTTAATGCTGAAAAATCCAGACCCACCATTCTCCTAAAGACGGAGCAGGGAGCAGCTGTAGCACTTTGTCATTGAGAAATAGGGGCGCAGGTTATCCCAGGAGCTTAGTAACAGGATACCCCCTTCCTGGGTCACTTGGAATCCAGCCCAGCATGATCCCAGATAATGTTAACATCACTCATTTGCTCTTGGTCCAGCTGTGCTGGGCAACGGGCTCCAAGAGCAACAGGGTTAGGGCCTGGATCTCTGCTGCCCTGCACTCTGTGTGCACTCACCTGTGCCAGCTGGGTGTAAAGTGCAGCCGCTCTGATTCAGTGGGTACTGGGATCTCTGCACTGGCTGAAATGACTGAATGACTTGCAGGACAGCGGGATATCAGGGCCACTGATTTTCAGGCCTGGACCTCTTGTTGACAATCCCAGAACAGATGTCCAAGGATTAACTAAGCCACAGACCATATTATCCTCACCCCTGCAAGGGCGAGTCCCTTGAGGAGAGGAATGAGGCACTAATTCACTTGCCCACTGTCTTCTACAGTGGGCAGAGAAGCCTTCAAGGCCCAGGGCCATCAGTCACACCCTATTCCCCAGCCACTTTATCACAAAACTGAGTTTGCTTCAAACTCCTGATCTCACCTGCTGTGATGTCAACATGGAATTTTTTTTTCACTTTTTTCTCACCTGCATTAAACACATTTCCCACTAGATGGTGCGATAACCCATGACAAGGAAACCGCAGGATCAATTAATTCAGTTTGCTCCGCATCCTAATTAGAACACCCCAGTGTCACCTCACCATCACGCGTATTAAGCCCTTGCATGTTTTAAAACCTGTAAATCCCATGCCCTTGCAGGATCCTCCTAACAGGATATTCATTGTGCTTTGCCCACTCATCCCAAGTAATGGGGCACCCCCTCTTTCCCTTTGTGGGGCAGCTGCACAATCTGTTCGACGTCCCTGTCAGGGAGTGACTGCCAACATGCAAATTAAAGCTTTGTTTGCTTAACACCGTTCCTCGTGGTTCTGGGAATTTGCCCATAGGTCGCCCTTCCTGTTTCTGCTCCTTGGAGACGTCACCCTTTGATTCCCTGTAGACATTTTACAAGTCCCCTCTTCACATGCTGTGTAGATTGGCTGAACAGAACAATCTTAATGCTTCTGTATATGTTCATTCAGTTTTGGTTACATTGGGAAGATTGGGGCAGTGGAGAGATGCAGGTAAACAGAAAGTATGTAGTTTGGATAGTTGTCATCATCAGTGATGTCCATCAGAAGAGGACGTTCTGATGAGATACGGACAATGGATCATGTCACCCAGAGGCTTATACTTCCTGGAACTAGTTGATGTCCTCTGTTGCTTTGGACATGCAAACCCCAAAGTGGGTCAGGATCTCCCTGCCTCTGGCAGCCCATCTCACAAGGAGACACTGCCACTTGGAAGAGAAGATACTGCTCACAGGAGCAATGGTCTTACACATTACAAGGAGCAACGGTCTCAAGTTGCAGCAAGGGAAGTTGAGGTTAGATATTAGGAAGAACTTTCTCACCAGGAAGGTAGTAAAAAGCACTGGAACAGGTTACCCAGAGAGGTTGTGGATTCATCCATGGAGGTTTTTAAGACCTGGCTAGGCAAAGCTTTAGCTGGGATGATGTAGTTGGGGCTGGTCTTGCTTTGAGCAGGAGGGTGGACTAGATGTGACCTCCTGAGGTCCCCTCCAACCCCCATTGTCTGTGACTTTATGACTGTGTGTTGAGACCCTCAGATTTCTGTAGCACTTCGCTGTCCCTCAGGGTTAGCTGCAAAAATCAGTTGGTCTCCCTGGTTTGGGCAGAGACAGGATGGGATGCTGGTAGAATTGGTGGCTGTGCAAGGTGGCTGCAGTCCATTTATTTTATTGGACATCACTGAACAAGGATGCCCGGGTGCCAAGTGATTGGAACTGATGCTCTTTTCCGGGGCTGTGAAATCAAGTGTGAATTCTTTGAATTCCTCCTCCTTACTTCTTACAGGTACGTTTGCCTTGAAGGCAGCTCTGGCCCCTGCCCCTCTAATGGTCTTCATGGGTACAGATGCCCAAGTGGCTTCTACTGTCCTACTGGGACAGGACTGGAGATACCCTGTGAGCCTGGCATGTTCAGCCCAATGCCTGGAGCAAGCATATGCCTCCCTTGCCCTGCTGGTGTGACTTGCAGACATGCTGCCACTGTAGAGCCACTCAGCTGCCCCCAAGGTAAGGCATCTGCTGTACAGCAGCGTCCTTAACCCAAGACAAGAAGGTGCAGGCTCTGAGGAGTCTGCCAGCACATAGATCTCTGTACATCCCCCCGTCAGGCACCGCAGTGAGGGCCCCCGAGCTCTTGGGGTGGAATTGCAGCCCTACTGAAGTCACCAAGAGCTCTGCTGTTTGCTTTGTCCAGGGAGCAGCATCCCCTCTTTGTATTTGCAGGTTACTATTGTCCATCTCAGACCGCCATGCCCCTGCCATGCCCTGAAGGTACCCTGAACACCTTGGAGGGGGCACTGTCCCCTGCAGCATGCAAGCCATGCCCAGTGGGGAGGTACTGTCGGGGCCATGCAAACTGGGAGCCGGATGGTAAGTTGTCCTGCTAGAACCAGGGCTAAAGAGCTCTGGGTGCTTGTCTGCATTAGATGGAGTGGGGTTTTCTGAGCTCAGTGGGGCAGATACTGGAGAGATCAGAGGCAGGGTGTTGAAGGTACCCTTTTTCTGAGGCTCTTATTACCTCCATCTCTCCTGCTTTCATTCTTGCAATCCAGCTTTGGCTCCTTCATTCTTCAAGGTCTCCTCCCAGTGCTTTTCTAGTCTCCCATCTTTCCTTGCTGTCTAGTCCCCACCACTCGTTCACTCAATCTTTGTCCTCTGTTGCTGTCTGTCAAGCAGAGGAAAGGCGTTGAGACCCAGAGGCAGATGTTAATACTCTGAGGAAAAACAGGAGAGACTGAGCCCTTTCCAGAGGACAGGGGACCTGGGAAGGAGGGGATGAGAGGGCCTGCAGGGTAGGGGGTCGGGATGAGTGATGGGGGTGGATGTTGAGGCTGGGGCGAGTGAGTCCAGAGGAGAATGGCCCAGGGCAGAGGGGTGGGAGACAGAGGTGTGCTGCTGGTGGAAACCAGAGCCACTTTCATCCATGACTGAGCTGCCCCCGTGTTGCGGGACTGGGAGCAGGTGCTTCCCTTGGCCTCACCAAGCTAAGAGCCGTGGGCAGGCCCCTGAGGACCCTCTATTCTCTGATGGCAGGGCTGTGTTCAGCTGGATATTACTGCGCAGGAGGCGCTGCGAACGCTGTCCCACGCAGGACACCTGGGTTCCCGCTCAATGGACCCTGCCCCCTTGGGCACTACTGTCCAGAGGGTACTCTCTTCCCTGTCGCCTGCCCAGCGGGCACCCTAAATAACTCCACAGGTAAGTGCAGCTCAGGGCTTCTCCTGCTTCCCCTCATGGGTTTCTGCAGAGTTCATTATCAGCGGCACCCTGCCCTCCTCCCAGCCTCTTCCCCGGCCACAAGCAGGACCCAGAGATGAGCAGGATGACAGAGTGGACTTCTGCAGACTTGCTGTCCTGTCCTGCCAGGTTCCTGCCCCTCTTTGTGCCTCACTTCCTTTGTCTGTAAAATGGGAAAAAAACACCGCTTCCCCCAGGGAAGAGGCAGGCTCGATACTTTCATTCATGCAACATGGGTTGCAACTCATCTGTAGTTATCTGGACATGTTACAGCAGTCACAGTGCAGGATGCTGTGGCTGTGGAGAGCCCCATGGCAGCAGCAAGAATACCCCTGGAAGCTGCCTGCCACCTGCCGCTTGCATTTAAGGAAGATTCTCTCTGAATGAGCAGCGATAAAGTGCCCGTGACACATGGCAGAGCAGATCCAGTTCCAGCCAAAGGGTGGCAGTTGCAGGCAATTGCAATAGCTATTATTATTGCAAATGCAACACTGATGTCACTGCAGCTCAGATGAGAGCTTCCTCCCATCCCTTTGTGCCTCTGCCTTTCCCCCAGGCGGCTCCTCCCAGGACAGCTGCGTGCCGTGCTATGCCGGCTTCTTCTGCGCTGGCGTCGGTCTGAGCTCACCCACGGGACCTTGCGCTGCCGGGTTTTACTGCCCAGCTAACTTCAGCTCCTTCAGCCCCACTGCCTTCCTCTGCCCGAAGGTACTTGCCTCTGGCTGGGATGAGGAGGGGCTGGGTCCCTGCTGGTGACAGCTGGGCTAGCTAACCTTCAGTCTAACAGTGTCAGCCTAACATTTGGAGAGAAGCTTCACAGGCCGTGGCCATAGTCCCATCCACAGGACTTTGCCACAGGCTTTTGTTCCTTGGGGACTGGCCCTGCAAACAGACCTGACTTTACCTGGGTTTCTGTCCATTTCTCTTCCCTCTCTGTCTGATTCCTAGGGTCACTTCTGTACCGCAGGGGCTGCCTACCCTACCCCATGCCCCACCGGGGAGTACCAGCCAAATAGGGGGTCCGAATCCTGCATCCCCTGCCAGCCGGGCTTCTACTGCCAGGAGACGGTCTCAGGAGACCCCAAACACTGCCCACCGCACACCTACTGTCCAGCAGGTATGTACAGGCTGCCCCCCGCCCCCAACACACCAGCATATGCAGGCTCCCACTGTCCTTTTGGCTGCCCTGGATAGGATGTGTCAGTACATGCCCTTGCCCAAATACCAGCAG